ATATATATATATATATATATAATGTAGTATATGATAAAATATTAAACCTTGATATTTTCATCAGCTAAAAGACCCCATCCACGGCCCTCCGTCTTGAATAACTTTGTCTTTGCATATTCACATTTTTGAAACCTCTGTAAATGGTGGCACATTAAAACTCATTCACAAAATGTAGTCCTTTATGAATAAATTTCTAAGCTACAAAAATAAATAATAAAAATTATAATGTACCTGGTTATTGCAATAGGTGCCACAAGGGCAATATCCAGGGGTGCATTCTGTGTTGGTTAATACATTCAAACACCTCTCTCCACATGCAAGCTCAGTCTTACCAGGATCCAATTTGCATTCACACACAGCAATATCCTCATCTTTTTTCTTTATCTGCTGCCTACAAAGTACAAACACATACATACATTACAACTTCAAAGCTAGTCCAAACTCCAAACCAAACACACAGGTACAGCTCAAGTCTAGAAAAAGAAGCTGAAACTGCATCTCTATTTACAACTTAAAACTTCTGACACCACAACTTTCAAGTAAAGAGTACAAGGGCATAACAGAAGAACAAAAGGAGACACATAGATACAACTTTCAAGTCAGAAAGCCATATCCACCATCACATTTACTTGCTGACATGTTCAAGAGAGTGAAAGGGGTGGTTTTTGTGGGAAAAGGGTATAAGAGTGGGGGTGACACTGACTGGAGTAAGATGATTATAGGGATATAGGGAGTTGGCATTGCTGTAATGAGGAAGATTACATTTTGGGGTCAATATCATCTTCCTACTAAACTCTAAATTCTCTTTTGTTCCAAAAATCATAAGACAAAACCAACAATATATGGAATGCATGACCAAGCACAACAGAATGAAGTTGAGGAAGACAAAAGTGAGGCTAATTTCCCAGAGATGCACAAAAAGAGAAAAACAAGACAACTTAGGAGCAAGGACACAAGTCAAGCAAAAAATAAAAAAAAGTTAGGCCAACTTAATGCATTCTCTTAAATGAATGAGCATTATATGCAGAAATGACCAAAAAGCATATTCATCAAGTATTATAAAAAATTCAGTGGACAGACTAATTAATTTATCATTAATCATAATGAATGGGAGCAAGAAATAACATACTTCCGGCCTGAACGTTCATTTCGAGTAATATGTGTGAATGGAGCCACTCCTTCAGGTAACTGAGCATTAAACAAAATGTTCATAGTGTTAGTATAGGATTATCAGAAATATGATAAACTTGTATCATACAAGTGTCAAATGCATGCAAACCTCCTCAGACAACCATTAATAATGAAAACTACATATGAGATATGTCTTTAATGCTAAGCCTTGAGGAGCATAGTTATATTACTGTTATTACAAACGTGTCAATATAACATAGATATGGGTAATCATATTTCAATAGCAATACATTGAAAAGTGCAATTTTAGATAGAATCTGGATGGAGGTTAGCTTAGATCAGTACTAAGGCAAATAAAGTAAACAGAACAGAATGAAATTATAGCATCAACCAAGCCCACTCTCTAACTCTCACATGCATTTTGTAGGTCAACTGACCAATAGACCTGGAAGGATATAAGCAAATCTAGACAGTATGATCTAAAGTAAGGTTAAGGTCCATTATCAAATTAGTGTTGCTCTCACTGCCAACTCACAGGAACTTTTGCTTTCAAAACCCTGGTAAATGTATAGTTAATTAAAGATCTTGTATCATATTAACATGTATAAGTTTGAGTGTAACCGATAAGAATATTGGGACAAAAATTATGCATCAAGTTTACGGATTTTTACTTCTATTGACAGCAACAGCATTAGCATCCAATCAAAAATGAAACCCCAAGATCTTCACTTTTAGAACAAATCGTCCACATCAATTGATCAAGATCACTTACCATTGATCAAAAACCAAATCTTTCTAATCTTTCTTTCCTCATACAAGGAAAGTAAAATGCAGGTGAAATAAACACAAATAAGGGAACAAAGATAGCTTTTCTATTAGGGATCAACAAAATTTTCGCTAACCGAAGGAGATACTCGTGTCAAGTAAATTTCGCACATGGATTGATCCGTATAAAAATCAAAGAAACATATCAAAAGAAAAAACCCTACTAAAAGTAAAAGATTAGTGAAGATACATAAGTAGGGATCTTAAATCGACAACACATGTGCTATGGAGCCAACAAACCTTCTTACTGCAAACAAGGTTGCGGTTTGCTCTTTTTCCCAAATATGAACATTGGGAATGTCTATCTGTTTGTTCACCCTTCTCCATCAATCAACACACAGATGATTAGGGTTTTGTGTCAATGAGTGTAATACTCCAAATGATTCTCTTCCCGACAATAAATAATCCCAATATACTCTTTCTTTAAATCTCTATCTAGAATTAATATGGAGAGTGAGCCTAGTAGGAGAGATTTGGGAGTGGAATGACACTATTTGGGCCTATGAACTTTGAGCCAAATTGGAAATAGGCCTATAAAGTTCATATTCTTGAGAGAGGGCCCATAAACCTCATGATAAATTGTATTTAGACCTAAGCCCCTCAACTTCCCCTGTTTTCCAACTAAAAGAGTGCAAAATGCTCGTTTGGCTCTCGATGAAGTCACGTGAATTCAACTTGAATTTTGTAAATAAAGAACATAAATGTCATTCCTTTCATCAACTTCATCTCGAAGAACAAAAGAGCCAAATAGAAAATAAAAGATCACGTATATCTTCCGTACATATAAGTCCTATTGTATCTATCCACCTCCAGTTTCATCAACACCTTTTTCTAGAAATGTGAGGACTTCTTTGAATCTCCAAAACACCCTTGTGATTTTGGATTTGTTTATCTAATTCTAAAGAATGTTCCAAATTGACATATGGTGAAACTCAATAGTTCTTAACTTGACAAAACCAAAGGAAAAAAATTGTATGCGTCCACATAAAACCAACAGCATAGCATTAGGAATCATTAAAAGTTTGGACAATAAAATAATAGTTAAATAGTCCAAATGTTCCAAAGTATGGTTCTACAAGTTCAATGTTCTAGTGTAAAGCACATAATACCAATCAGTTAATTGTCTTTTAACCTAAAAACATGTAAGAGCCAGTTAAAGCTTGCATCTTGTTTTGCATGGTATAAGAATACCAATTTGCTTGTTGCTACTTGATATGAAATTAATCCATTCTCTAAACCAAATTCACTTGTCCCTTACTAGTCCCGGAAACTGATATCCATCTAAAAGTTGGCAACTTCGATTCTCTTTTCTCCATGAAAACAGCCACGTTTAGGGTAAAAACACTATGTGTGAGTTGTCGATCTTAAAGTGGAATATAAGCCGAAAGTTGTTTACTTCCGAAACATTAACAGAAAGATAATTAAGAAGCCATAAGAAGCCCAAAATCCAAAAGCCACTAAATTTGACCAATAACTAACAAATCAACGAAGGCCGGTTTCGAATACCTACATGGATTCTGTTGAATTCGAGCTCCATTTCCGCCACATAGAAAAAATCGGACACTTGCTCTAGGGTTTGATATTGCAACTTCTAAAACAACAAAAAAGGAGATTAAGATACATAAAATTCGAAAAATCTAGCACATGTTGATCTGTTTCTTGAGATAACTTATGAAAAAATGCGAGTTTTACCTCATGCTTCTTCTCTAACACGAGGATGTGATGGGCGATGAGGATTTTGCTGATTTTCGTCAGTGGCTACGCATTTATCTGAGAGAAGGAAAATGTTGCTTGCTGTTGCAAAATCTTTGGCGCTGCGATTCAAGTGTGTGCTTCCGTCCTTTGGATTTCCGATTAGCCCCTGAAGTTTGTCTTCCATTACAAAAATAGGGTTAATCAGGACATATATGATAAAAGGGTTAAGTTAAACGTAGTTTTAATTAATTGATAATCAAAGTTTTAAGAGGGTTATTATTAAGTTATTTAAGTTTAAATCATTATAACTAAGTTATTAAACTTTTATTTTTGTTTTTTTTACTTCAGGTTTACTCAATTCTATAAATAATTTTTAATTTAACTGATCATTTGAAATATAAAACCGTTACCACTTAGTCATATTGAAAAAAATTACAACAATTTTTAAAAGAAAAAAATTACAACTTTTTATATTTATTTACAAAATAGTTAAAAACTTGTTTTACAGAAAAAGATAATACTTTTATACAACTTTTTTACCAAATTTCTGACGAACTGCCCGCAACATATTTTCCGATGATCGTTTCGACGCTATTTTCAGACTTTTCTCCTTAGTCTTATAATTTTTGCACATAGCACATGAAACTTTCTTCATTTGGCTAATTTGGTCCTTAAAGTTTTTTTTTTGGTACATTAGACCAGTAAACTCGTAATTGACCTATTAATTACATCATTATCTAAAAAATTAGAAGGTTTACCGGTTACAATGCTTATGTGGCACGCTGATGTGTCCAATAAGCTTACGTGGGATGCTTATGTGTCGAAGAAGTCCACTTGTCGATATACGCTTATTAATTGAAACCCTCATTCGGACCTCCATTAAAGTGTTACTTACCCTTCTCTGAAAAGTCAAAGACTTCCCCTCAACTATTTCCGTCCTGAAGAACAATGTCTTCGAGCTCATCGACCTCAAGGAATCAGCTACAAGTCACTCATGTTCAGTCACGAGAACGAGTAAAGCTTTGTGATTGTGGCGTTCAAGCTAAAGAATGAACGTGTTGGAAGATAACAAACCCTGGGAGGCGTTTCTGGAATTGTCAAAGCAGTATGGTAGGTCCCGATACTCCTACTTTTGATAACTTAGTATTTTAGGGTGTCACACCCCCGAACCAGACGGCGGAAACGTCTGAGGGCTCGTGTGACTTAAATTGAAATATCATCACAATGAATATACATGAAACATAACATAAACATCACCATGCATTAATACACTGACCTTGTTCACAACAAGTACATTGTTTACATTACAACATCATAGAACATAAATTATTTAACGATTGACATTGGACAAAAGAAATTTCAGAAACACGCTTGATGATTCTTCATTCTAACGGTTACCTGAGAATACAAGTTATTTTGAAAACGGTCAACATATACAATGTTGGTGAGTTCATAAGCATGTTTGATATAAAAATAGTTTGTATTGTTTGTAAAACCCAGAAAATCCGATATTTTCTGTAACAAAAACTGTTTACGAAAAAGATGTGATGATCCCATAAGTGCATATGTATGTGTTTTCAGAACATGTAAAAGTGAATGACTTTCCTAATTGTTCCTTGTATTGTAGTTGTCGTATGTGGAAGTGAATAATGTCGTTCCCCGGAAAACCCGATGTTTTCCGATTTAAATAGTATGATAGTTTTGTATTATCGCATAAATCACTTTGCATGGCCACCATGTATGAATTTGCTTCCCCAAAAATGATGATACGGTAACAGATCTCTATGTGAGTCGTTATAACCATGCATGATAATGACTATTTCGCCTGTCTTGACATTTATTCTAAATGCCGGTTTTGATCAAGATTTTGTCACCCTAGACTGGCCGAGTCTAACTGTAGCGAACAGCT